ATAGGCTACAACTGGTGGCGGCAATAAGCCATTGCTTGTTTGAGTTTCTATCTTGGTTTTACTTGATATTCCGCTGGACAAAAACGTTGAGTTCTACGTAGGCAATAGGAAGCACGCAACTGCCAGTCTGGCGATATCCGCCGTGCCGCACGGAAACGCGCTTTCATTAGTCACTTGCGCCACCCCGCTACCAAAAGAATCTCGTATGTTATTGGGCGAGTAAAAGGGTCTTCAGAGAGTGGGGCGGTGCCAGTAGTTCCAGCAATGCCAGTAGTTTTGAAGGGTGTTACAATACGTAGACACAGAGGACCCTGCAGAATTAAGTATATACGGAGAGACCGAACTCTGGAGGGGAGGGAAGGATATAAAGAAATCACTAATGAAAAATACGAAGTAAACAATTGAAAATAATTGAGAGGGCAAATTAAGATACTAAAATTCTCAGTTCGTGCTGTGAATGCATTTTATAGTCCAGAAAATAGAGAATAGTTATGTTGTTTTAACATATGGGTCGTATATGTTTTTGGGGTCGCTGAATACAAATATTTGGTTTGCGAACAAAATTTTTTTTTCGCTGAAAACGTTTTTCGCAAAAAAAAAAAAAAACGTTCGAAATACAATTCTCCGATTTTTTAAACAACTTGAAAACCATCCACATTTCGTAAATAATGGTTCTATTTGAAATAAAAGAATCTAAAATTGCCTAAATTTTATGTCTTACGTTTCTCCCCCTCCAACCTACCCTTTAGCCGCTAGATCAACGTTAATTTTAGTGGTTTTATGAAGAAAATTCTGAAAACGGGATTCATCCCATTTTATATAAATGTAGCTAACAAAATGTATTGACCTTATATGAAATGAAAGACGATACAACTGCCTATATGAGGACTTAGATTAGACTCAGGACAGGACAGACTTAGATAAACAACTTCGCCGCTGCCGTGCGTCAACCCCAACGGAAAAAAATACTTGATGTTACTCTGACAATGGCACCTCGCTTATCTTCTCTCACTAGCACTAACTATATGTAATTATAATTAGTTACAGGCAATATAGTTGGATGCTAAATATGACGGCTGTTGAATCATTCCAACTGAAAAAAGCTAAGCCCGCTCCACTTTCTCTGCTTCGTTAGTTTCATAGGTTGGGAAATCTGGCTTCATCTCGTTCTCCAATTCTAGTTTGTCCTCTAGGTCACCATCAGAAACGACTGTCATATTAATACAACTCTTCTCGCAATTGAGGCACAAGGTAGAACATTTAAACCCTGCCTTCTTGCAGCCACAATTTTCCAGACGGTTTTTGGTGCATTTGCATGAAACATGTTTCATGCAAATGCACCAAACATGCACTTGCATGCACCAAACATGCACTTGCAGATAGTGGTAGTGCAGCAATGTTTAACTTGTACTTTAAGACAGAATTATGTAAAATACATCTCAATATGTTGAGTGATGACGCTTTCATCCTACTGTATGTGAATAATTAAACGCGAAAACGTTCACCAGCATCAACAACCATCTTCTGAGTCGCGTTGGAGTTCTTAAATACTTTCATTGAGTCAACAAGGCTAGGGTTCGTGGTCAGTCTGAAGAAACTGCTACTGCTTCAACAACTCGAACCCTTTCCTCTTGCACAGAAATACATATTATGCGTTAGTCAATAACTTCTCCTATTCTTGTAACACACACCCGTTTTCTTCGTCTTGTTGCTTGTCAACATTGCTGTTTTCAATGTAACTGTAAATACATTACATTGGTCTATTAATTTCCTCAGAAAATGGCCCACGTCTCTTCTGTTCTGCGTTCGATGGCCGACCATAAATAGCTTTCAAACACGTGATGTGGTAAAGAGCATCAGCTGGAATCAAATCAATCACTACTCGAAGCGCTTAATTATCGCTCCATAATCATCATGGCGCCATCTTGCTGCGTTGAGGGCTAAGTTCCATCTCCCCCTCCCTAATGAAGAATCACAAATAAAACATACGGACATTGTGTCACACTCACTCCCCAGGCGATCACTAAATATAGAGTAAACAAGCACTACAATGGCCTGGCAATTACTGAGAAATTCGCTGTTCAGCTGGCGACACAAATGATCCAAAGTTGATTATTAAAACAATGGGGGCTATTCAAAGAAAGCGATTGCGCAACTCTTAGTAGCTGCGTCGTACCGGACAACAATAACGTATTGTTGGCCCTACCTAATACTTAAGGAGTAACCTAACATCCATATCTAATGCTTAGCCATTGCAATGTATTACACTTTACATGCTACTGGCCACACGATTGTTAATCACGTTTTAGTTACGCTCTGCGAAAATTTCAATAGGCGAAAGACTTTCTCGTGAGTGTGATTCCGTCTCTTTCTCTCCGTGTCTTTCCATCCCCCTCTCTCCTCTCTCTCTGTGATTCTGGCCTCCTTTGTCTATCCTTTTATCTGTCTCCTCAGGGAGAAATTTCATAATCGCAGGGGCAGAATACGTACTGAAGTCGTCTTAATAATCGTATTTCAGTGTACAACGGGTTGCGTCAAGCGCCCTTTGCAGGGTGCTTGAGTCAGCATAAAATCATCGAGCGTCTTATTGCGCTGGCATTCCCGTCGTACAATGCCTATATTCTTCCTGGAAGTGCAAACAAGAAGTGGACAAAGTTTTATCGCAATCTGATGAACGGTATGGTAGCGCATTAAGTATGAACAAACAAATGAACATTGTTTTTTAAATATACGATAGGTTAATATTAACAAAAATGCATAGTTTTAGCAACATTGATTTTAGCTACAGGTTTCCTCATAGTAACTCCAAAATTCATGTTATTCTAGCGGCTAAATGACAAATTGGAGTGGGAAAAACTTGACATAAGATGTAGACAATTTTATCAAAAATAATGTAATATACAATGCCAAGAGTAATAAAATTCCATTTCTCTATTTCAATGTTATAAGGTTCGTAAAAAAAATGTCCAGTCTGAGCTGTTTAAGGATGCTTTTTAAAATTTTTATATATTATTTATATTGACAATGACAATTCAAACCCAAGTTCATCACAGGACACATCATCCACAATTGCACGAGCCTTTAGTGCAAGAAAGTCTTCTGCCAAAGGTATTTATTTATTTTTAGAAGATTACCTGTCTATAATGTAGGGTCTGTATCTTTTCTCCCCATCATGTTAAAACCATAACTTCATTTTCCCTTACAGTTCTTGGAAGAAAGGATAAGTTGGAATGTAAGGGGGCCCTACTAAAGAAGACAGTGTTTAAAATCTAAAATTATACGAAACTTTATATTTACCCCTTTTTCTTCTTACAAAGTAGGAGCAAGAAATTAAAAAGGGACATTTTTATAAAATTATTTTGCTGTTTACCAAATAGTAATGACACAAATTTGAAGTAAAATCAGAAAACATTGAAGTAAATAAAACAGCTCATCAGAAAATATATTTGATATTATTTGATTACATTACGAAAAAAAAAAAGTTAAATCTCTTTGAATTTCCTGTTCCTTAGGACGATGAAATGGAAGGACAAAAAAAATGTTTTTAATACTACACACATTCAAATCCCAGATACTTCATTAGGTTTCTACTTAAAAAGTTTTTATAGATACAGATGTATTATGTTTATAGTAAATAATTAAACTTCATGAATCCAATTACATATAAAAAATATTAACTTATTACATTTGGCTGACAACATATGCTTATTAGTTAAAGCTGATACTTGGAAGAAAGTTTGTATTAAAGCAGAACAAAATAGGATATCTTCAATCTTTGAGTGGCTATGTCTGAATTTTCTTAGCTTAAATATTGCAAACACGATATTTATTACAGTGAGCAGCAATACAAATAGTATTCCAGTAAATTATCAAATCAAGATTCACATCAAAGACAGATTAACTTAATTGCAATTGTCTAGATATATCTACAGCAATGTAGGCAAACTATTTAGGTGTGTATAGAGATGCTCATTTGGAATGGTTAGCACATACAGATAATACTATAAAGAGAATTAGATACCTTATTTATGTTTTACACAAATTAAAGATAATATTAAATACAAAACAACTTCTAGTTATGTACCATGCGTCGTTTTGGTTTATAGCTTCTCACAGTATTTTCACTGGGGAGAGCCAATAATAGCACCCTCATACCCTTATTTGATATACACAAAAGATCTTGAAAGTGTTATTTAAAAAATCCCTTTCTGTATCTGACTAATGATTTATTAAAAGAACACAATATTATATCAATCAAGACGTTCTACATTAAAAAGGCTTTAATGTTAAACTTTCCCAAAATTCAAAGTGAAACTTTTCCACAACAAGAGACATGCTATTTTGCGTTCTTTGCAGGTGAATAAGCAACTAGCAAAAACTAGTCATAGAGGCTTTTAATGTATGAAGTTCTGATTTGAAAAATTGTAATTCGAACACTCCTAAATTAGGAAACTATTGAGATCCTCGCTCATTGGAGTTGATTATGATGTAATTAAGGCATTTACTCAATTTCCTAAAATTGTTAACAAATACCTATTGAATGGTTACAACAGCTTTACTTTCTTATATTCTGTAGAGTACACCTTTTAAAAAATGTTAGTATTATTTTCCTTGTATAAAAATTACATGTTACTTTATTTGAATGTTATATCGATTTGTATGGTTATTTCAGGGTCAAACAGAATATCGTTTCCTCGTGAATTTTCTTTTTTTTTTACTTATTTTTTTGTTACACAAAATTATCAATTACATTTCATTACTTCAACCCATGGGACTGATACATTGACAGGCCAAGCAAAAATAACACTAGGTCCCCGTAAGTATATTTCTCATTATTCAATTTCAGAATTTGTTTGCACAAACTCAGACATTTTGTACAACGCTATTCAGAAATTACATTTGTTTTCTTATAAAATTGAAAACTGAATTCTATCACAATAAGGCATTGAACTCCCTCATTACAAAGGTTGTATATATAACAGCTGTAATTATAAACTTACTTTCTGGCATAAACGAGTAACGTTGGATGATGTATCATCACCCGCAAGAGTGGTTAAATCAATGCATGTAATGGCTCGTAAAAGCCACGCTGCTCTCTGTTTGCCTTTCAGAAGAGGCAAACGTTTTTCAATAAAGGAATTGACAAGCTGAACAATTGGATTGGAATTGATACATGGCACTTTCTCCAACCAAGCAGCATCTGCAAAAATTAAGCTTTTCATATTTTCTTCACATGTATGTGATATTTACTTTAATGAAATTTGCACTGGAACCTACCGAAATTGCAACCTCTGTTCGTTTCCGTAAAAGACATGTTTATTTAAAAATTGATATGAAGAGCAGCCGTCTCTGCAATGCTCTATTTTCTTGACAGTTCTTGTCAGAGAGTCCTTGACATCAGGAAACAAATAACGAATCACTCAAGAATCTCCATAGAAAAGCCGAATTGCCTATGCAAATACGATTTGATAAGGGCACAAGTGAACCTTGTTTTCATGCACTCCCGGAACAGATTGTCTCATTAAGTGTTATCTTAATAAATGATAAGTGTTTCGTTCTCAGTTCGCGTCGCGCACACACTTTAAACAGAGAAAGTTATTAAACGGTTATTAAATATCCTTTCTAACCCGCGACAATTTGAATATTCAATGAATATTATTTGACACATCAAAGACACTTTGCGTTCGCAAAATTTACGACGTCTGCGATGGAACACTTAAAAGCTGAACGAATCACATTGGGAAAGAACGAACTCATCATTTCATCGGGCTACTATCAGAATGCTATTATCCTATGAATTTTTGGTATTAATATAACTAATAAATATGGACATATCTTATATTTTTTAGGATGCCAGGATCTGATTATCATTATCTACTTAAAACTTATTCATACATATTCCCTTTCGGAAAAAGTCCAAGCAGGAACTGTTTTTAAATGAATCCTACAACCAAACGAATCCAGTGACCGCAAACTTTAAAATTGCGGCCTATAGGTCGGAAATATTTCTGACCAATATACTGATATTACGTACAAAATAATGATTTACGTATCTTTCTGTTATTTCAAATAGGTAAAAAGGAACTGAATTGACACACATGTTTTAAATGAACTCAGCATAAAGATTATTTCCACATTCAACATTAAAAAATTCCCTTCACACCATTTCCAAAGCTACATTTTTTTTTAGAGACAATACTATTTAATTATATTCTAAGTTCTTTAGTTAAATAATTATACTTGACTGATTTATATTGTGAATAAACAATGCCTAAATGTGCTTCTTTAACATACCAAGTTGAAAATTAGCTGAATGAGAGTAAGTCTCGACAAAACTTTCCTAATATTTAAGTGAAACTTGTATTAAAGGAAGTTTTGATTATATTTTTACATGAACATGACTTATTGTATTTTTTTAAATTCCAGAATTTATGAACATTACTTTTCCAAACTGCTCTTCTTGAAAGTGCCCTTGGTGGTTTGTTGGTTACCATGCTCACTTTCCATGGTGCAACCCCAGGTTCAATTCCCAGTCAGGGCAAAAATTAATTGTGCCTTTCCTTAGAATGTCCCAGTATATGTTGCTGTGTGACGATCAGAAAGCTCACTTCTCAGTTTGAGAATTCCAGAATACAGCATAGGAATGACCATACGTACCCCGTAACCCACAGTCGCAACGGGACGCTGCTGGTAGACCTTAGCTCATAAAAAGCTGTTGTACCAAAGAACATTTATAAAGTAGATTAATTTTCCAAGTTTAAAAAAAATGAAATCAGAAATACCAATTATCCAGACCTGTTCATTAGCAAAAACTTGACAAAAAAACTTCAGTTAAATATCAATTTATCTTTTGTCTTTTTATGGTAGATTTAACTTAAACATCATAAAAATATTGATAAGCAGAAATAAAATGGAAAATAAAAATTAACTGCACATATTTTCTGCTGAAAATCAATACAGTAAACCTTCATTAACTTGTACTTACTTTATAGAAAATTTACCACAACCCAAGCAATATTTGGTCGCTATCATGGAAACATAGTCAATTATGGGATATTTCTCCAAACAATGTTCAGAGCCCTGAGTAGTCTTCAGTTCATATTACTTGAAAGATGAAATGCATTATCTTGCATTTGAAACTTATCTTCCTGGGTTCAAATGACTCATTGCCAGCAAGTTGTCAGACAGACAACTTTTACAAGTTGACAATGAGAATCCTTTCTTAGACTTCACACAATGTTCACACATGGATAATGTTGACAGTGCATTCACTGGGATCATTAAAGCTATTACATGTTAAAATACAATTAATTTCATCAAACCCAAAAAGAAGTCTTCAACCTTTGAATCAAGACATAATTTCAGTTACGATGAGAAATTAGCACCTCAGACTTGTGTAAGCTGCAATTCACACTGTGAAAGATATCAATTTCATTTTGACTCAACACTGTTAGAGCCATAACACAGGATTGAGATTTGGGGGCTGTTCAAAACGGTTTTTAAAAAAAAATATTGGATGCCTTTTGGTTCAGAAGATAACGTTACACAGGTAACTGATGAGATACAATATACACCTATAGAATGAGAGATATTCCAGGAATCACAGTATCAGTCAATAAGAGTACACAAGTGTAAATGATGTTGCTGTAAGCTAGAGCAATAAAACAACACAGGAATGTTTGCAGAAGAATTATCTTCTGAAGAACTTCACAAAGAAATTCAGCACATTTCTTCAGAAGAAGAGACAATTTTGAAGGAGATGAGCAGAAATTTTAAATCTTGGAAGTCTTTTGTGATGTTTTAAAGGTAATACATTTGAATTCCTGAAAGAGAACTGCCACATCACCACAATGCAAAAGCAACATCACAGATGAATTATGGTATATTAATGTAAAGAATTGTCAACAATGTTTCCACACATTGTAAAGAATTGTGTTGATTAAGGTAATAAAATTTGGTCTACCCAAAATTGGTAATATTCTGTTTTATATCATATAAAACAAAGTTTTGTAACATCAACTCCAATTCTTTTGGCCCCCTAGGATTTGGGTTAATGAGAGCTAACTGCATTACATTAATGAATCATCAATGTCTAAAAAAGTTAATGTACATCTACTACTAGGCTAATTTCTTCATTTTTTCAGAAACGAAAATCTTAAGATATGTTTTTATATTTGTGCAAAGAAAGTAACTTTTTCTTTGTACCTTGAAGATAAACATAATTCACTGATATGAAAATACATTGATTACTTGGGTAAATAATAGATGAAAATTCAAAGAAAACTACCATCTGAAATAGATACTACAGATAATGCATGAAGAAGGGCTAAGATGTATATGATGCAATGCATTTAAATGAGGTAAAAAATGAAGTGGCTTCTTCTTAGCAAACACTTTTAGGACTGGGTAGATCATTTGATATGAATGTCCAAGTTGCCAACAAAGCACTATTTGTCTTCCCGCGCAATTACCATATAAAAGTCTCAAGTCCGTGCAACACATAATTTACAACATTTTATGTCAATTTTTTTCTATGTGATATATTTGTAATTCGGTGATTGTACTGCAACTACACTTTGTTTTGGTCCTTTGATGTCATAGCATACAGAGAATGTTCATCTTAGAGAACATTCAGGGATTACACTCCAAATTTTTATTGCTTTCACTTGATTATACATAATTGTTTGTTTTTCAATGTTCTTTAATATGCATATTTAATATACACTTATTTCACTTTCTATTTCAATACTCACAACTTGCAAACCTTTTCTAATATCCAACATATGTGTACATGTATGTATGTATATATCTTCACGTATTTTTTTGCCTTGAGTATTTTCTGAAAAACAATTTTGCAAATCCACTAACAAGTTAAAAGCACTTATGTAAAATTAAAAACCACAATTTGATTGAAAAGGTCTTATTGTATTTTAAAAGATAATAAAAATATAGAGGACAACATATCAATGTTTTTATTGAAATATATTAAATAAATTCATTATTTACAATATAATTGCTTTCGAAAAATAAATTAAAACAAACAACTTCCTCTTTGTACTGTGCAAGGTAAGTATTTAAGTACATTTTAATAGTTTTAATAGTGTATCAACAGGTTACACTTTTAACTCTTTCCACTCTTACTCACTCTAAAAGTGAGTGTGAAACACATATTTATAAGAAAAGTTCACTAGATATAGTGAACACAACACGTCATTTCATGTGTGTATTACTACCAATGTGTCTAAGGATCAAGTACTCAAATACTGACTTATTATATTGTCACGTGTCTATTAGTAAAAAATATTAGTAAAGCATAGTGACAATAAAATTGGCAAGTAGTACTTGAGTATATTACTATTTAAAACAAACAAGCAACCAGGCTTGTCATTCTGCAATACAAAATTTACCGATCTTCATCTTTGTTTTTCCCATTGTTCCCAGTAATCACGAGTCTGCATTTCAGAAAGCCGAGAAACAGTACGATCAAATGCAAATATTTCTTCTTCTCCAGTAAAAATATTAGCTGTAGCATTTTCCTAAAGAAAAAAAATAGAAACATACAGAATAAAATAAATTGAAAATTGACCTTGATGTCTTTCCCCTCCCCCTTGCAAAAATTTCATTATACAATTATAGGACCTACTAATTGCATTTTAAGATAAAACAAACACATGTTAATAAAACACATCAATTTATTATTTTTATACTACAGTATGTACTATCTGTAAAATATTTTCACTTGGCATGCTTACCGAACCAACTTCAATTTTTAAATCGTCCATTAACATCCTATGTTCATCAGCATGATCATCCTGAAGTTTTTCGGTTTTAAATAACTGAGAATGAGGCACTTCGGATGATATAACTAAGCGTACCTGTAAATCAAGGAAAGGAAAGAACGACAAAACCTTCAATTCAACTAATGCTCTCTCCGTGTACTTGGCCAATAGGTATAGAGGAATTACTCTATGAAGGGATCAATTTGACAGGTCAGGAAACAAATGAATGTCAAGTAGAACTACAACATTGCATGAGATGGTGATGAAAACTATTTACTAATGAGCAAACAAATGCACTGAAAAAATGAGTGCATGTACATAACCTGCAGTTTATGTTGCCAGCAATAGCCAAGCAGTATCTGTCAAAATAGTCCCTTATTATAAAAATCCTTATATCTACATTGCTTAGTCTCATTTAGTATTATAAAGCAGTATATTATATAGAAAATATTGCAATAAAGTTGTAATATAAATTTGAAAACCTTTTCCTCACAACAATTGCTCTGTTAATACACCCCACAACATACTCAGAAGCAAATATAAGAAGAGGTCGCTAAGAATCAGAGAGCACATGCACAATCACCCATCACTTACTCGGTTGTCATACAATGTGTCTATGAGGGTTATGAAACGTCGGGCTTGAGATTTCAATCTCAAACTTAGTTGTGGCACGTTTCGAATGATAATGGTATGAAATACTTGAGATATTTGAAGATAATCACTTGCACCAAGAGCCTGAAACAAGCAAAAAATATTAACCAATATTTTTACTATATTCCAATACATATACTTCTCTAAATACTGTTATCATATTCAAACAAATCATAAATTTTTCAACTACTTGTGCATTTGCAGCAATAACTTATAACAGAGTTTTAAATAACATGCAAATTGTCCTACATAAGTAAATCATTTTCAAAGAGCCGCAGTAGTGATAAATATTTGATGCACTTACTCTGTCACAAACTTCATCAAAAGTAGTATCCATAACCTGCCCGCAGGTTTTCTTAAAAGTAACATTTCTCCCTAATATAGTAAGAATTCGTGATCTCACTACATCATTTTCTCGTGAACATAGAAGTTTAAAAATTTTATCCAGTTCATTATCAGCTTCACATTCTGATTTCCTAACAAAAATAAAATATATTATTTATAATGACTATAATTAAATTACAAAGTCTTAGAGAATATGTATCTTTAGGTCACATATTCTACATCCAAATAGTATTAAGATTCTCAACGGTACAAGCAGAACATGTAACAATAAGTTACATGTCACCACCCTGAACATTGTAGAGGGCATTTCGAATACAGTATTAAAAGGATTTATAAAGCAAGTATCAACATTACATCCTGTAAACAGTGCATCTATTTATGAATTGTGAAGAGTTTTCATATTCTGTTTCATAGAAGATAACAGATTGCTCATATGCCCCTTGCAGTCTCCATTCCCTGTGAAACAGCTACACGTCTTGATCCCTCAGGAATCTTTGATTCACATGAAGGTGCACTCTTTCCTACAGCACTTAATAAAACCACTCTCTCATCCACCACATTACCAAGGAAGCATGCAATACTTCAAATTGCATTCAGCTTGCTTGTATCTCATGAAAGCAGTATTTCATTGATTTAGTTTCATCAAAGAACATAAAAAAACAAATATGTGATGTACGGGGAGAAATTAGTCGAGTTCCCTTTTCTTGAGTTCCAGCTGTTCCTCGTACATTTACTATACCATAGTTCAATGATGAATAAAAATATGCCAAAGCAAAGTTAGCAACAATTGAAAATTAGAAACTTTTACTCTCAAAATTTTAAAAAACTGATTTACATTGGTAGATGAACTACACATTTCATTTTATAGTATTGCTAAAAATATTACCCACACCTCCAATCTACTTCTTCCACAACTAGCAAAAGGAAAGTTAATGTGCACACATTAAATTAAGCCTATGTCCAGAAGCAAAACAAGGGGCCACCTCAGAATTTTGTCAACGGATCGAGGAATGGGATGAAAAACCTGACTTACATGGGTATTCAACGATATGGTGCATTTAGAAACAAATGATTTACTTTTATTGTTTTTGTAAATTTCACAACTCAAAGAAATGTGGGAAATTTATCAGAAAACTTATGACATTCGAAAGAATGGAATTCATACATACTGTAGAATTTCATATGTGAAAATAGACGTACTTTCTCATTGAACGGAATCCCGTGCAAACAAATTTTGATAGTAAAAGCAATTCATAACATCACCAACCACCGTAAATATCATTCTAGAAAGAAATTTCATAAATGCTACTGAACAGCCACAATGTTGATGACCACTTTCAAATTATTTTAAAGTGGTTAAGATTTTATGGCGACTCTACACATGTGCCATTTGGGCAATCCCGAGCTTGCTCCCGAATAGTGTGGATGGGTTGCTTGCGATTCTCTGAGTGACAAACATTCTGTATTCCTCCTACCCACCATGAGTCGGTCTTTAGGACACATCAAAGGGAGCGAACATTCGCCAAACACATCTGCTGTTCGGGATTGGACGAGCAACTCGGTGAATGCCGAATGTGTGGTGTACCGTTTAGACATTAAAGTAAGTCAAATTGTATTGGATGTTTGCAATGAAAACAACATAAAGCATACAACCTCCATCCACCTGCACAATGATTGAGGCATTGACTCTGCCAGCCTCAAGTGCCATGACTCTCACAATTCTTATAGAGGCACCCTGAACCTATCAATGCAAAAGGGGTATCACCAGCAGAAGCTACGCATAATTAATAAAATATTCACTCCTAAAATATTTTTTTTCAAAACAACATTTATAAACAGTCTCATGAGATTATTAATCATCCACTCACATGTTAATACTCAAAATGTTTACTGTGAGTTTGCAGCTAGTTTGTTCTTTTAATACTAATTAAATTTATCTTCTATCATACCATTTAACAACCCATCACTATTTAAAATTCATTATTTAAATGGCTGGAATCTACATCACAAATATAATATTTAATACTTACACAAAATAGGTTTTGTCCTTCCCTGCAATAGATTTTAGTCTGTAATCTATTCCAGAATCTAAAGATGCTACATTACAATGATCTTTCAATATCTGTATAAAGGGGATAAAATTGGATCTTTGTAGGCCATTTTTATACAAATCATCTGGTGGTCTATTGCTAGTTGCTACTACCACTACACCATGGTAGAAAAGCTGAGTAAATAAGCGTTTCAAGATCATTGCATCTCCAATATCTGTAACCTGAAAATAATTCCAATTTTCATTTTATAATTCTATACAATTTGTATTATATTATTAGTAATTTCAGTTATTAATACAACCTCACACAATATTCTGCCATACCTGAAATTCATCAAAACAAATTAACCATGCTTTTTCACTTATTGCCTTTGCCACTGGTGAAATAGGATCAAATGGTTGTGGCTTAGTACTAGAATAATCACGTACAACAGTTTTTTTTACTTCATGAATCTGAGAATGGACATCAAGCATGAAAGAATGAAAATGTACTCGACGCTTATTGCTTACCTGTAAAAGATTTCGGTGTTACAATAAAGAAAGGCCTAATATACAACACTATCATTAAGAAACTTACTGTTGAAGTATTGTAGAATAAATCCATAAGCATGGTTTTTCCTCCACCAACAGCACCATGCACATACAAGCCCTTAGGAATTTTTTTATCACTTTTTATCCATTTATCTAACATTCCACGTTTAGGAGGTATGTAATTTTCTGTGGCCTCATATACTTTTTGTAAATCATCAGCTATTTTTCTTTGGTAATCATCTTCCATCAGTTCCCCACTTGCAATCTTTTCCTGAAGTGCACTCACAGGCCCTGAACTTAAAAAACGATGTATTTGGATGGCATGATATCGTGGAGGAAATACTAACCCTCCGAACATATTACCAAGGTTACAATGATTTAAATTAAAACTAATATATGTTTTTAATTTCAAGCAAGTGGGATGTAATACTGGGTTACTAAGAGATGCCATATTTTATAAAATTTTAATTCTGTAAACATAAAAGTTGTGATCATTTCAGCGACTTATTGTGGATTTTTTAATACATACTCCTGGAAATATAAAAACATCTTACTTACACAATATTTTAGGTTATATATCATTTTTCCCGTGAGTGCATTGCGATATGCTGATGTTACCTCCAAGGCAATTTCTTCCGCTGCGGCTAGATTGCACCACAATCACTACAATCAAGGAGAACAGGTGCACCGGATCTGGGTCATTCAGTACGTCCAGGTTACGTTAGGTCGTGTGCTGGTCATCGGCAGGGAGGCTCGGGCAAATGACATTGATGCTATTTCAGTTCATAAACTATACGTAATTGTTGTAATAAGCCAAATTACTAATATAATTTTAGAAAAGACTTCTACCATGATTATTACAAGGCAAATTGAAAAATTAATTATCTAACATCTCAATTTTTATGTGACTTGCCTTGGCCTTGACATATACTTGGTTCAAGGTCACGAAGCAACAGCTTCTGACAAGGATCTAACCACATGTTAATCATATGTGAAAACCACTGATATTTCTTTCTCTTCCTGGACTTTCTTCGAAGATGTCTTCAAGAAATCTAAATTGCTCTCCAGTTTTTAAATAGAAAGAAAACATACTCAAGCAAATATGTGGATTTACAAATTGTACGAGAGTGAAATAAACCTAGCTTAGAAAAACGCGAAAACTTAAAATCCAACACACTCGTTTTGATGGTAGGGTTGATTGAGGTTTACTTTCTCGCTACTGCTTAAGCAGAATGGAGATTTTGCATTGTAATGCTGCGGCAAAGTAGGTGAATTTTAGACAGAGAAAATCTTATTGCCGGACCCTGTCAGAGAAAGAATGGATAAATCTCATTCCTATCTGCTATAAATTAATTCCTCTATCACGTTGTGTAGACAGAATATAAGTTTGGTTGGCCCTTGACACCGATTTTCACCAAAATTGATGTTCCCCGATCGATCTAATGTCGCTGCCCCTTGAACTTAAAACGGATATTTTGAGTTTTTGGGATACTTTACATAAATCCTCAATACTCAAAGCTTTTTTAGATGCCCTTCTGTTCCCAAGAACCTGGAATGTAAAATTATAGCACCCTCGGAACCAGTGGCGAAACTTGAGTCATGCAGTTGGATATTTTAAAATCTCACCTTACAATATTTTTGTTAATCAGCTCCATTCATCGGACTTATCGTTCAACAAAAATATCGATAACATGTTCTTGAAAGCTGAGCTGTCATCACTGGTAAGTTAATTTAGCAGACACTTCTCGATAGCCAGTGTACTCAAATTACTGAGCCAGATATTTCCCATGGAATTTCTCTGGAATCCCTTCACTCTCTTTAATGTAATCACATTCCTTTCACATAATGCTATGAATTCAGGGAAAGTTGGACTGATTTGTAAAATCATTAATTAAGTCGTCTCTTAATATTTTTTTGTACACCGTTCTACACCTTTCCTTTTTTCTACACAGAAATACTTCTGCAAGAAATCTGCTGACGTGTATTTTGCATTATCAATGAATATATTTGTCAGTACATTTTGAAGGTACTTACTGTCAGAGAATGAATATTGTTTTATTAGGAAAGATTACTTTTTTAAAGGCAAGGACGCTTTGTGGGTTGAAAACTGCTTTTCGTCAAGAAATCCAATAAAATGAAAGTTTGAAAATTTTGAAACTGATTTTCCATTTGAGTCAGTTCTGTGTCAATAATTTTAAAAGAAACAATTTTGTGTCTTCCAAATAATTCTAATCCTGAAAGTTTATTCATGGTCTGACCTGCTTTGATGCACTTTCAATAGTCTCTTCATATTTAATACGGCATATTACTACGTATCTCTACTACTTCAGTCTATACAGCATTTTACTTGCCTCATGATTCCGCACTGTTGAGCGAAAACTGCATTTCGATAGCGCGAACCGTTTAGATGTTCTGGGAGTGGCTCATAGCTGGTGACAGAAGCGGGATTCAGGTGGGGAAAACCGTCCGTCCGTTCGTCTGTTGTCAAAAAATGTAGGCGGCGGCGATAGGTGGCAACTGGCAAGAGTATGTGGCAAGTTCGAGTAGCTAACCGAAACCAAAGGAAATAGAAAACAAATACTGAAAAATCTGTGCCATTCTGTAGCATCATTTTTTCTTCTCTAATGGGACGGTCGCACGCGTATTTTATAAAATTATATTGTGTATAACGTTGCTACGAAAAGACGACAGGAAACGCGAAGATGATTTTCTCTACCTGCAAGCGTGTACTCGGGACTCAGGGACGCTGTGGAATCCTGCCTTTTTGTCTCGCAACCCACGCCAGGCCGCATCCGGTGACTCACAGGAAAACACGAGCGCCGTTACCTTCGAGCGCCGCCGTGCCGCCGCACCTTTTCTCCAAACTTGAATGACGTTCGAGTTTCGCAGAATTTGGTAAGACGCGGGAGTCCGTCGACGACGCCGCGATAGGGCGGAGAAACCGCGTGAAGCTCCCCCACCATCGCGGGAAATGAAGCGGGGGATGGTCACGTGACCCACAAAGTCTTCGAGGCGACTCTGAAGACGCTCGCTCAGTCATTCTGTTTTCTACACTCATTCTTATTCTATATTCTGAGCTCTGCTCTTCAGCATTCTGCATTCGCATTGATTCCAATCCCGATCAGGGAACACTCCTGGAGTAGGTGGGCCTTGCCGAGGTGGGGACGAGGGCGAGTTGCTGCAACTCAGGGGGAACGCCAGCGGATGCACTGTCGCCGCACCGCCGCATGAATGTCTTGCCTCATCGCCACATCTCATGCCGACTCGGGGGACGCTGGCTCGCAACAATCGCAGTGGGCCATGGCGATAAGTGCCCGACCGCGAGCCCAGAGTGACTAAGGGCCGGGGCGCGATTAACGCAGGCGCGAATCGCTGCGTCAATGCCCGGTCCGACGATCGCCGCTCACGTAAGCTTGAGTCTTGATCACCGGGAGGACGCCGCCTGCCGCCCGACCTCACCACGCCAGACGCTGGGGGCGCGGGGACGCCGCTCCCACGGACCGGGTCACGTCCGCACGAGAGGACGCCACCTGGCGGCCAATGATGAACTCTGGCCAGTACGGCCATTTAAGATTAGATAAGGTTTAAGATAGTTCATAACATTCATTTTACCATCACCTCGATCTTAAAAAAGGATCATTAAATAATTTTAAAAGAAATGAAAATGTGTTTTAATGTAGTGGTAGCATTAGAGTTAGCTCCATCACGCATACCTCCCTCTAGGGAGTCTGCAGACTGAGCAGCCGGGGCAACGCAGAATCGGACGAAATACAGGTAGTCAAGTGAGTCGGGGCAGCCACACGGAGAGTGTGGTTACTCTTGAAACTTTTCGAACAGATAGTGCCAATTGCACTCTTTAATACGACGTAAAGTTTATTTTGGGGTATATTTTTTATTTACAAAATTACACAAACGTATTTTTTAACTTCGTTTTACACTGTTAATATGCACATTTCCAGCAATTGGTAATCACTATTGTATTTGTGCGTTAATGTGCCTCATATAACTTATGAAGTTTTACGAAAAATCCAAATTTTTCAAAGAAAATTGCCATTTAGAAAGTGGACGTCGTTCTTTAATATTCTTTTTCTAAAATAATATTTACGTTATATTATTGGTAAATCAAACAATTAAGAAAATTTAAAAAAATATATTTTGAGCGGCAACTGAAGACAGTAGGCAATAGTATGTGGCAAGTTCGAAGAGCTAGACGAGACCAAAGAAAATAGAAAACTAATATGGGAAAGTCTGTGTCATTATGTTGCACCACTAGTTTCTAGAATGGTTCAGGGTTCAAAGACTAAAAATTATTTTTAATTTTTTTTCAAAAAAATATTTTTCTGCGTTTGAATTTGGATATAAGAAAATATCAAACAATGTTTTTGTAATAGTATACATTATTTTCTTACGTTTCACCTTTTTTTCAATCAGATAAATTGTTAGGTTGTCAAAATTAAAAAAAAATTACTGTTCTGTCTGTAGAAGGATGTGGGTGGTGGGATAAAGACTATGAAACTTGTCAAAAAAACAACAATTTTTATGTTAGTTATAGTGTAACTACACATATGTTATTTGGTTACATGCAATTTTTACCATCTTATGCGGGGGGACACGTTGCCCCTCTCTAATAAAATAACCAAAATCCCGCCTCTGGTTGGTGGGACATTCTCTATAACACTTAATATTTTGCTTCATTAATTGATTTTTGAAGAAAACACGAACAACAAAAATTACACCAACAATTCACTCCTCTTTCCCACGACGGTAAGGCCGGTTATGACGAGGAGGCGTATTTACCTTAGGCCGTGTCCTGCATGAGCTACCACCCGCTGCGGCGGCAAGCGATAGCTTGCGTCAGCTTCAAGCGATGTTGTGATGCCGCGCGAGAGCATGGGGTGTCCTGCTTAGGCTAAGAACCTGCGATAGCGACAGCCGCCGCGCCGCGTGGAAATCTAACCTCATTCACTTCTATAGGGATACTATATAACATAACACTTACAATTACTATTAACATCTAATGAATTCAGGTTAATGAACTTAATTAATAAACTTCTGTACAATTACTCACTCTAACTGTAAGTTAGTTCGTGCTATTGTATTATAATCTGCTAATGTCATGTATTAATGTAATATTCATGTAATGTAGTGTTAATGTTATTTTCAATTTTGTGAAGAGCCTTAGTGTACTTCAGAAATACCACTAAATTATTTTAAAGTTTATTATGACCACTTGAATGCTTCATTAATCATGTAATTTACAAAGTAAACTATATTAATTACTGTAAGTTATGTAAATGAATTTAATTCCTGGTATAACTTAATTTAATTGTTTATTTTAATCAATTTTATATATTTTAACTTATAATCTATCAAGATTATGTAAACTTACGAAACTATTCCTGTAAGTGAATGTTGTTAAAATGTAACTAACTTATTGGAGTTTTAAATTATTTCTAAACACTTTGCTTGATACTTTCTGTAAGTCAATAAGCAACTAATAATAATAATAATAATAATTATTATTATTATTATTATTATTATTATTATTATTATATTAACAACTTATTGTGATGTACAATATATAATTAGCAACTGACAAATTCAATGAAAATAATATAAATTAATATAATTTAATAAAGAAATAAATACACTTATTTGTTATTTTCAGTGCATCCGCCACACTTTTACACCACTCACCAATCTATAGTGGTATTCCATCTCTTGTCTCACAATTCCCTTTATTTTTTACTTCTTCAATTAAACATTACGTTATGTCGCTTATTACGTTATATATTTGGCATCTTTGAAATAGGAAATTTAAGACCAAAAGCGGCGAAAGCATACGCGCGTCGCAGCGAGAAGCGGCAAGTAGCAACAAGATTCAAACACGTTTGAATCTCGGACTCTGCCGCTTGTAGCGCGTTCGTCGCTTCGCCGCGGATGTCGCTGACGCAGGACGCGCAGATAAGCTACTGAGTGGTTGAAATTTGTCACTTGAAGCTGTCGCGTGTCTTGTGGCAAGATGTAGCTCACGCAAGTGATGGCGTTAGGGGGTCGGGATGTGGCCTTGTCAGCGCGGTACAAGTCTGTGCATGCTGAGAGTCTATTGTTTTACCGCTCGCCCGAAAACCACCAGGGCGGACGGACGTTTGGTAAATTATCAGAGGCTTCCCCCAACCCTGCGGCAGCTGGGATTTCCTCTCTCGGCGATAAGGAAGCACGGATGCGACAAGGAGAGGCGACTGGGAGATGCGGCGATCACACTGACATTCAAGCATCACTGCTCTCATCGTCAGAAGAGGAATACGCACTTCCAGGAATTCATCAATGTGTTGGTTCATTACATTACCTTATTACTGAAACCGTTCTTCCAGACATGGCTTGTTTTTTGTTGATCATTGGGACAACAACTGCTCCAGAAACACGTAAGCTGCCTTTCGTCTGACCCTTCTTACTCATCAGTTTGATATCACCAAACTCGCAGTGTTGAATTACTATGCGACCCATGAGAGAGAGAGAGAGGGGGAGAGTGAGAGGGAGAGAGAGAGAGAGCTATGTTGTGACAAAGAGCGCAGGCAGGCGGAGAAATGTTTGTAGCTTTGGAGGGGAGGCCACTTTGAGGCGTGCACAGTGAAAGTTATTTTTTATTCTGATAGAGCTGTAGTGTGCATAAAATCAATATTTAAAGCATTGGAGAATTAATCCAGGGGCCGCATCTTGTTAATCCTTTTTTGTATTATAAATTCGTACGTCAACTTCATCAACCAGAGATTTTATCAGTTCTGCGACCCAACACATGAACAGGACGGGTTAGAAGTAGGTAGATGTGAGTTAACATTTAACAAAAAGATGTTAATTAACATAAAAAATATTGGATTGAGCAGAAATATCTGAGAGTCAAATCAATTAAATTAAATTAATATAATAAAATTAACATATTCTCAACAAGCCACCGCTTCATCAATATTATTAAAGCACGATTTGATAGAAGTGAATTGCCTCTGACGTCCGCAATTTAAATGTGTAATTATGAAACAATTTTTAAAATTTAATTAAAATAAGTATATTTGTCAATTTTGTACCGTGTTTTCTCCTTTTCTGCCTTTAAACGTTTCATTTAAAAGTTTCATACTTTTTATATGCAAACTACAAAAAGCACAATGCGTCTTTATGTTCACAAAACTGTTGAAATAGCGCCATTCGCCCATGTGTTCGCAGGTAGAAAAGAAAATGTTCGACCGCGTCCCGAAGCTCTCAGCTCCGAGCAAATGTGTTCGTTCGGCGTTCGCTTTCTCTTTCTCGAAACGAACATACCCGGCGAACGTTCGCTCGCTTCCGCCAGCCGATCTCATCCGAACGACACGATTCGCTCGCGTGTTCCGTTTCTACCGGCTGAGCGAACGAAGAATTGTTCGTTCGGCAGCGATCGCTTGCGCAGTGTAAACGCACCTTAGCACTTCACAAGTTAACAAAAGAGACTTATACCGTTAACCCCAAAAATTTTAGCCACGATGGTTGTTTCCGAAACTTCCTCCAATGAAACTTCCTCTCTAAATAATCGATAAACTAAAAAATAAATATTCGGCTAGTTTAGATGAATTTCTGGATTGTCTGTTAAAGACACGTTAACTCACATATTTAATGCAACCTTATGCACCGGAACTTTTCCAGATATTTTCAAAACAGCCAAGATTAAGCTGCTCTTCTACTACAACACAAAATACAAAAAAAAATTAAATTCAAATTTATCGGGTAATTTCCCTTTTGTCAGTTTTTAAAAAAATATTAGAGAGACTTTTTACTTTTCCAGTATACAATTCAACAAAAAATAATGTTTACTGTACAGTTAACACGACACGTTTTCAAATTGCCAACATGGATTTCGAAAGTAAAAATCTACGGAAATTTGGCTGCAAGTACTTGCCTGTGCTAAAATCTTACTCAGTTACCACTGCCGTAATTTTACTTCGGATTTTCGGCCCAAAGAGATAATTTACAAACAACGGCGGAGGTTCGCGTGTGACAATCGGAGGGGGGATGCCAAAGGCGCTCTGAGTTGGGCGCAAAGGCGTGAAGGGAGGAAGGAGGGCAGTTGCCCCCTCCCCCAATATAGGGGCAAATTTAAAAAAAATGTATTTTTAAAATACATTTGCAAAACCCTACGAACTACACTATTGCCTTCGAGATTAATGAACTTGAACTTCAGTAAATACGGAGTAAACCAAACCTTGAGTAATGCACATTTACGTTTTCACATGTACATTTTTAAGCGTGCAAATACCGATTTTCAAATAAATGTAACTAACGTTTCTTAATAAAACGTAACTAACACCTTTTCACATAAATATACAAAGCATTCGCCTTTTAATTTTTATATAGATTCGCCTACAAAAAGATAAATAGAGCCTTTGCAGTATTAGAATGATCTCATTAGAGAATAACGCCGAAGAGCAGCTTTCAGATGACATTTATGTGCATTTGTGGGCATATTAGCAAAAAACGTAAAAAATATAGCTGTACTGAATTCTTACAATTCAGTATTATTCGTGCCTGCAAGTCATTTACGGCTTTTATAATTTTGAAATTGCAATATTACTAATTTATATCTCCTATTGAGGCAACAAACTCCCTATGGATGCTAGAGACTGTAAGAACTAATTTGAACAAAGCTATGGATGACATATTTTCAACACATGAAAATACTTTTAAAACTGTTAACAGCTTCGGCGACGCCACATCCTACTAGTCCCTACATAGTATTTGAGTAACTGCGAGTATGCATGTGTGCGGATCCGTCACTCAGACCACTTCCCGTGCACCAATCGAGACATATCAAGTGTCATTCGACGCGCCTCGGTCTCCTGGTTGAGAAATGACAATTTCTTTTCGGATCTGGCCAGAAGATTCTAAGAAATTTTCAAATACGTTTTTGTTGTGGTAAACTTATTTAATTTGAAATTCTTCAAGTGAATACGTAGAAAACCTAACAGTGAGTAATGCTACAAAATGAAAGCACATGTAACTTATTACGTTCGACTTCTCACAGTTACGTTCTTAAGAGTGCAAATATCGATTTTCAAATGAATGTGAACTTTCTCTTAAACTTAACATTATTCACATAAACATGTAATAAACACAAATAAATTATGTATATTACAAATTTCCTAGCGTTTTTAATATTTCGAAAGCCGAAAACTGGGTGCTTCTCACGAAACATTTCGTGGGTCCGCGATGCCATACAAATCCTGCGTTTTCCAGAATTACTTGTAATATGGGGAAGCGTAGTCGGCAAACGGAAAACTTTATGCCGTTATCCATTTAAAACGATTTTCTTTAACGTTTCACACTTTGCCACCCCCCCCCCCCCCCCCATTAAAAGATCCGAAATCCCCCCTCTGGGTGGGCGTAAAAGTTTTGGTTGAGGGGACCTTTTTACCATCTTATGGGGGGGGGGACCTTTGCTCCCTCCCCAATAAAAGATTCGAAATCCCATCTCTGGGCAGGCATATCGGTTTTGGTGAGGGGTATCAAGATCAAGGGAGATCCATGAAAGATGCAAGGTGGGAGTACGATATCGCCTTCTAAATGAATAATTTTCACAACCCGAACGTCTTTGTTTTGTGTGACACTTGCGGTGAGAACACACAAGAAGCCAGGGATTGCATTGTAGCCTTGCCCTTTTTATTTGCAATAATGCCAGTATTTTGGGGCACCTATTTCAACATGATGCAAAAGCTGCAGTTTAGAGGAAGCTACAGCAAAAATGGTTTGACAAAGCTAAATTACTGATCTGGAAGATTTCTTATCAAAAACATACAGGAAAAAGGAAGAACTAAATAAAAAATTGGAGAAAAAGGAAAAATTTAGTAATATTTAAAAATATGTTCTTTTAGGTAAAATATGTAAATATTGTACTTTCAGGTAAAATATGTACTAAAAGTCAAAGCTTTTTGGCACTCACCGATATGAAACATGAAGATTTCGTTGATTGGACTTCACAGAGTTACGTTAGGAAAATACGTTATTACATAATTATTCAGGTCCTACTAATATGGTTATAAAAATGTCTTTATCAACTGTTCTATGTTAAAACTATAACTTTTATTGCTATGGACTATTCCACTCCTTAAATTTCAGTCCAATAACATGTTAAAATTTAGACTATTGAAAACTAGAGATGAATAAAGCAACATAATCTATCATTATCATCTCTTTGTAAGTAGTAATTATTGCAGTTTTTCCAAAAGATATATAATTTTTGCTGATGCATATAGCATATTAAATTACCATCTCTTTATCTTAAAGTTAATTGCTGCATTTGCCCATTTTTTAAAATCTGCACAATTTCTGTATTTTGATTTCCCTGTTTTCCCCGAAATCAAGTCACTCTGAAAACAATCAAACTTGTGAGCTAATTTTGTAGGAAAGATCTAAAAGTTTTTCTCAAGCAATCAGATATAAATAATTTTTTTTTTCTAGAATCAAAAAAATTAATATCATTTTTAAGGGATGAAATTTAAGTTTGCTCTGCCCAGCAAATTGTTCTGACTTGTGATTCAATTCTGTATTTACACAAGATACATGGAGTTGTTCTTTACTGTCCATTTTTAAATACCATCAGCATTTACGTTTCTTATTCTTAATGACTACAATGGCCCCATATACAGATATTCTAAGATTGTAAGTGTGTAAATTTGGTAACTCTTACTTTTAAAATTTAGAGATGGTAGAGCCTTACTCCCTTGTGAAAGTGCTTTTAGGCCTTAGCATGTGACAGTTATGGATTTTTAGAATAGGTTGTATTATACATATTCAAACTCAAAAAACTTATGTTTTCTGATCCAGATTTCTTATATAATTATACAAAACATATGACCAACATAAACAATCAAATACAATAGACACTGGCCACATTCATATCACATTTTCCTCTTCTTCTATCAAACTATACACATAAAACAAATAATGGAATAACACACTAATTTCAAGTAAGTATGATTAAATAATTTTTATTTTAGATATTTACAAAACCTGTCAAGAAAATTTGACATGTCATTATCTGTTTATGTAAAAAATATTAATTCTCAGGCACATCCAATGGAACTCTCAATATGGCACCAGCACTATTTCATTTCAACCCTGTTTAATTTAACAATACATTCAGAATAACTGAAACATAGATTTAATTTCAATCATAAATGTGGGAAAAGTATTCCTGATAAACTTGAATGTACGTTTCTTTTTCTGCTGGTGTCATTTGAGCAATCAGAGAATCATTCACTTCAGTAACTGGTACAGTCCTGTCCCCAACTGTCACAACAGGAACAAAGTCATCTTCATCTGAATCCAGCGTGCCTATTTCATCTACAAGGAAGAAAATGATATAAGTCCAAACTTTCAAACCAGTTTTGAAAATGAACAATATTGAACCGCGAACTAGAGATAAAAAAATAAAATAAAAATAAACCTTGGACAATTGATGCCATATCCCGGTTATCTTCTTCACCACTAGAGTCACTTCCACTCTCGTTATGACCTGGTATAACAGCCTTCACAGCAGCAGCAGTTGACAGGCCACCACCCCCACGTTTCTCATGAGCCAGCAACACTGACATAATATCTTCCTGACCCTTGCCGCTTATATTGGGGACTTTTTCAACAGGTGTGTCCAAAGATGAACTCACACTTGTCAAAGGCTCATTCTAGAAATGTAATATTATGTACAAGTAGCTGAAATTTCACAACATACTCCTGCAATACTAATAGATCACTTACCATAGCACTGTCCGGTGTAATTATTGTACTCTCAGTCATCCATATTGGTCTTTCTTTTCTTGCTGTTTGTTCTTTAATTGTTTCATCACCAATAGTAACATCAACTCGGGTTTCTTCGACAGCAAAACCTTGCATTCGAGTGGCTTCCCCAGACCAATTTTCACCCAGAGGTCGGATGGGTGCCCCAAGCATTTTCTTTGAATCAAGACTAATAAAAAAAAGTAATACATTAAAACATATTAAACTCTAAACACTTTCAAAAATTCCAAGTAATAATGTGAGCAACAAATTTTACTTCCTCGTACAGTTTGAAGATTATTTAATTATCTTTAATATCATATTTTTAGGTTATTTAATTTTCAAATAATTTGTTATGGATTACACGAAGTGTTATGTCTATAGGTCGAATATACTTATAATACATCCAAAAGAACTTAGAAAATTAATAACAAAATTTACCCTCTAATTGTACTGATATCCACTGGCTCTGGTTCAAGTATTTCTGGAGCCAACTTTATTCCTTCTACTTCCCTTAACAGAATATAAAGAGGTTCCAACTGTTCATTAAACTTGGCTAACATAAGCCTGGAGTCTTTTTTAGGCAATGCTGACTGATCTTCCTCCACTACCTCTTTACAGAAAGTGCAGAGAAATTCTCCTGTTTGTCCATCAAACAGTTGATCAGCCTAAGAAAAAAAATAAAAATTACATGCTTATATTCTAATATGAAATTTCTATTTCATTAGAAACAAAATATCTAGGGAGTAGAGAAAAGTAAAATAAGGAATTCTGAATTCATTAATACAAAAATTCAAACAATAATTTAAATCACAGTTAAAATTAAGTGACTATTTTACATTCTCCCTGAAGAAATCGAAAACGTTTCACCAATCTTTTTTTGGACAAATTATGTCTTCTCAAGTCCTGTATTCATTTCGGAGAAGAACATGAATTGTATAGTGATAGCGACCTAAGTGTTGAAGACAGACAAGAATCCGCACGATACTGGATCGGGAAAACACAACAATAGAAAAAGTTAGCAAATTTTTAAACTAAACTTTTCAGTCCTGAGTTGTAGCAAACGCATTTTTATCAGTAAAACTGCATATTTTTTGGTATTGCTAGCAAAATAGTAACAGAGCTTCAGCTCTACTCCTATCATTACTATCAAAATGTGAGCTTAATAAAGCATGCGCATAGTGAAGCTCCATTTATTCCAGAAGCAAAACAAGGGGCCCTCTCAGCATTTGCTCAATGGATCAGAGAAACTGGACAAAAATCTGAACAAGACCAGAAGCTAAAGTACATTACTTGTTACTTAGAAGACACCCAGGCCAAGTATAAGCACGTCCAGTGGAAAAGATAGCATTGATATTCACTCTTTATGCAGCCAGACCTATAGGCTTGTGTCACACGAGCACTGTGTTGAGGCGCGTCACCTGACGCTGATGACATCAGCTGCGATGATGACTACGCACATTAAACACTTAATGCACATCGTAGATTAATGAATTAATTCTTCTGTGAAATGGCCCACGGGCGTTCTTGGGGATGTGCGTTGACTTGACTTAAGTTGTAGCTTGAGCTGAGGGCACAAGGCATGTCTCCTAGGGCGCTTATGTGCGGTTTTGCATAAGAATTAATTTCTTAATTTACAAAGTGCATTATGTGACTTGTGTGCGCAAGCATTACTTCGCGTCGATGCAGCTTGTGTCATTAATGTGCATGACAATGCAACGCTCATGTGACAAAGGCCTAAATGTTATTTAAAGTTTCTGATTCTCTTGAGTTTCAATATTTCCTTTGAATGCACAGAATTTTTATCATGCAACATTTGGTGAACATTATCCAAAGCCACATTGAACGCCATTAATGCCCCATATTTTTGCATCCTGTACTTTTGTCCAAAATTCCAAAACAGAAACAGTTAAAACACCCTGTGTAGCAATGAAATTAAACAACCTGAACACGGAATTCAACACAATTCCTTGGGCTCCTCTAAGATAACATAAACGTTCTCACTTATTGGTCACATGTATCGTTATCATTAGGACATTATATGGTCATAAAGGGACTTTCATTAAGAACATTTTGGGGGTGAAAAATCTATAAACATAAAATGCAAGTCAGAAATAATTTGGCACGGGAAGTATAGGAATTTATACGGGACTTACAAAAAAACACATATACACGTGAAAAACATATGAACGGGGTTTCACTGTATTTGCATTGGCAAATAGGCACTAAGAAATAACTTACATTATTACCTCAAGATCAGTAAAAGTTTTGCAACATGATGGGCACTTGAAACTAGCTCTACTTGTGGCATCTCGTTCTTCAGTTTCCATTCTTTTCCGCATCAAATCCAACTTGTATTTAACAACATTCACAAATGTCTGCATTCCATGAAACAAAAAAAACAATAGATAAAAATGAATTTAATTAAATGAATACGGAAATTTGATAGAAGATGACACAAAATAATGTTATTAAAATTAGCAAATTCTCCATCATTCTTGAAGTGCAAGTTAAATAACAATAGTAAGTGGACTCAACTCACTTATAGTTTGAACATAAACTACATCAATGATTTTCAACTTCCTAAAAGAATTGCAGCTTATAAAAAGTAATGAAAGAAACATTGTGAGCCTCTAAATACCCCCCTCTTCTGCCCTAATAAGGCTAGTGTTAAGATGTAACAACAACAACAATAACAACAACAATAATAATAATAATAATAATAATAATAATAATAATAATAATAATAATAATAATAATAATAATAATAATAATGCTGATCTGGGTAGCTGAGATTGCTATGGTAGTAGTGCCATGTCAGTCTTGGATTGAAGGATCGTGGGTTCGAGTCCTGTCTCAGCCATTATTGTTTTTGTGAATTGAATTGAATTGAATTGAATTGAATTGATACCTTATTTTACGTGGTGAGACTTGGGCCATCAGGCCTGCTCTTCCATCTGACCATGCAAATTTCACTACACTCCTTTCACCCACTAACGAAGAAAGAAGGTATTTCTTGAGCGACGAAAAACAGGCGATTTGCATTTAGCTCAGAGGCGTAATTTAGGCTTGAGGATCTTTTACATGCAAGTAAATCTAACATGGGACAGCCAGCTTTACTTCCCATCCGAAGGAAGATGTACGAAGGACTTTTTCGCCCTTAAAAATCCATGGCATCGACTGGGTTTGTACCCGCCAACTTGGGTATAACAGTCCGATCCCCTAACCGTTACACCATCGCCGCCGCATTGTGTTTGAGCGACTATGTTTGTAATTGTCCATTTTATCCTTCTTCATTATCATTTCACCTCATCCCCCAGGGCTAACAACGTAGGGTTTAAAAATGGATTCAGCATGAAAATACTAATCCTCACTCTCCAATAAAAGTCATGTGCACCTACCCTCTATAAATATATAACAGCCTTGTTGGGTTGAATGTTTGTTTGATTTCAAGATAGCCAATTTGTGACCAAAAAATAATGACATTGATAATAATATAAATAAAATTTATACATTCACATAATAAAATTACAATGATGTATATGAGTCATAAGTAGTAGGTATATAAAATATTAGAATTACGTTTTCTTCTGTGATCTAACAATGGTAATGAGATAAATAATTAAAAAATATTCAGGATTACTAAGTTCACTGAATAATTTACATTTTAAATCATAATATAAATTTTTCCCCTCACATTTCTTTTTAACATTCCCTTTCATTGTCACATTTGAACCAATATAATAGTTATTTATGCACCAACGGCATTATAAGGGATCTAATGATTAAGTGGCAATGAAAAGCCCTTCAGATTTTAGTCATCAATCGATGACAAAACCCATAGTACATATAGATTATAATTTTTACTTACCTACTATTTTACCTTTTAATGATTCAGACTTATTTATTTACTAATTAACTTGACTCAGTTTGTCTCTTTATATTTCCCTTTATAAAAGAAAATGCAGCATCATTAAACAGTTTTCACAATTCCCTTGTAACCATGATGCTCTCAATCCATGTGTTATGCAGGATATATTAATGTGTAAATGCAGTGTATCCAGGTAAGTTATGCAGCTCCGTTTCAAAGGCAATAAACAAGCAATAACACATCAGTAAAAGTTGTTTTTATTCAGGGTTCTGATTTTTTATCTCTGTCATTACCCCAAATAATGAAGGCTTTACTGCATGTCAATTATTTATATTAATTTAATTGTTTCTATTAAAATCTTACAAAGTAACTAACATAAAACAATCAATTCTTACAGGTGTTTTTGTTGACAGTTTCCTTTTGTAACAAAATTGTCTGTGGCAAAATTATTGGAGATAGAAACATGACAGAGTGACCAGTTGGTAAAAGAAAGTGAAAAAAGATATTCAAAATAGTTGTAAAAAAAGAATATGAATAAAGGAGTAAAGATGCTAACACAAGCTGAAGGAATGCAAATTAAGTATTAAAGTAATTGTGAACTTTCACTGTAATACATTTTCTTTGAGTGAAAGGTAAGCAGTAATAAAATCATAACTTGGATAACAATAACAACTTAAGAATAAGGTACAAATGGATTTTTTTCTTGCCAGGCTTGGTACTAACCTTATAATTGATGAAATAATAATTTACTTTTTGAGCTTTCCCATCAATACCAGTTTCCATTTTCAAACGAACTTGGATGAATTTGTCATTTCTCAAAGTAGCAATACGTGCTCTTAACATTTTTCTTTCAAATTTCAAGAGTTCACATATATCATCTTCTTTCATGCCTGAAAATATTTTTCAATACAAATATTTTTTATTTCTGGTAAATATTCATACATCAGCAAATAAATTAGTTGTAATATGGATATAATTTCTATACAAATCTTTTCTTTTAAATGAAAGAAATAGCTTTTTCTATAAGATCAAAACCATAAAAATTTATGTTTCTTTCAATTGGTCATACTTTATTTCATTAAGAAAATATACTTAATATAAATAAGAAGAAGGAAGCAAAAGCTCGGGAGAAATTTGATTTATCACTAGGAAAGTGTAATACACCAAAGGCATCTGTGAACCAACAACATTGTGACCTATTCCACCTTGTAGAATATGGGAACTGATTACAGAACTGTTTTGACTTTGCCCTTTTCACTACTTAAAGTACACAATTTCATACAAAACTTTGCTCTACAAGATATTTTAAGTTTTACCTAATCTTGAAACTCACTTCTGTTCCAAATTGAATAATCAGCATTTACATAATTTAGGGAAGAAAAGAAGAAGGAGAAGAAAAAAAAACACTAAAACCTTTGAAAACTTTAACTCACAAGGATTTCTCACAAGCATATCCACTATCAAGGCATCTTCAATGGTGTAGAAACCTCTAACCACCAATCTTGCAAGTTGTTTCAGACTACTAGGTACCTCAGTTACTAGTCTTTCTTCAGTCATTGTTTGAGAAAATATTTCTCCCAATCTCAAATCTTCATTCAGCACATGATGCCTTATTCCTCAACCTAGAAATTAGAAAATGAATATGAGTAAAACAAATAAAACAACTTCTGTCAAATCAAACTTTTAAGTTTCATGAAGGAAATTTATGTCTTCCAATTTCAGTATTATTTTTTGATGTAATAGATGAAAATTTTTCTCATTTGAAATTGTCTTAAAATTATGGTTAATAAAATTTGTAATTTGAAAATAATACATATCAATCTTTATTTCCACTGGAACTCATTAAAACACACAGACTTTCTATAATAAGAACTCGATAATTTAATTCACAATCAAATAGAAATTTTTTACAAAAATTAATTGCCAAATAAATGAATTTCAAAAACAATATTAAAACTCTTCAGTGAAACCTTCATGAAATGCAGTTTATAATATTTATTCTTCATTAAAGACATTGCATGGAATTCAATTTTAATGGTCCATTTATTTTTCTCTATTACTCTCCACCTCTGTATCTTTGAAGCTAGCTGTGTGTTGTACTGAAGACAAGGTCTGCACTTCACAAATACAGTAATTAAGTTTTAGTTTACTTTTCTCTTAAGAATAGGAATAACAAACTCTATTTATCAATCTTGTAATAATATACAGTTGGACCTCCAAATATCAAATTTTACGGAACTTTCAATACATAGAAACTTTGATATACATAAATAATTATGAAATTTTTGCAAATTCTATTAAAACAATATTGGAAAAGTAGGGTAAAATGACAAATTCAAACATTAAACAATGTTTTAATATTCAAACCTCATATTTATTAATAGGAACATGAAATTAATATTACTGTTTCTACAACATTACAGGATTTTCATCTCGACATTTCAAACACACTTCTTAAGCATGTAACATCAAACTGAATCTGTCCTGAACTGACATCATAGAGTAAGGCCATCAGACGAAGGGGCACATGAATGACCTTTAGATTGCTTCGTGAACACATTCCCACAACTGACGAGTTCCCACTGATGGATCTGCACTGGAGGGATGGAAGGAGCGAATTACCTTCCTGAGAAAGCTGGGACTTGATGTAGCAAGAGTGTAAACATTTATTCAATGAAACTAACATCCACAAATATAACGTCCTTACGTTATAATTTCTGCAGTAGTAATACTTTCCTTCCAATTTAAACAATACTAACTTTTAGAAACAATTTATAGTACTGTTCATTTTAATTTCATAGAAAAAAATGTTAAGTCAGAAAATGAGTTCGATATATAGAAATATTTTTTTATAAATATAAACATTTTTAAATTTTCAAGGGACAGAAAATACATTCAATGTATAGAGAATTTTGAAATATGGAGGTCCGACTATTTCTTTGACTAATGATCAGGAAGATAGTTCAAATAACATTTTCCACAGATTAAATTGTCATCTGCAAAGGTTTAAGAACCTGAGTTTTGTCCCATAATTTTAGTTTTCCCTCAATATTATATTTGAAGAAGAGGGTAATAGTAAAGAAGCATTATATTGAAAGTTACCAAAAGAAATATTTACCTTGATATTATGTAATATGAGCTTTAAAAGTAACTATTTCATATTAATACATACAGAAGTTTTCATTGTAATGATTATATAATAAATGTTAAAAAAAGTAGTGAAGTCATGTGTTGCATTAAACCGGTATTAAGGTGTAAGTCACTTTACTAGTTCCAAATAAAAAAACATATCAATGGAATAATAATATTTAACACTATTTATTAGCCTACTTACTTTTTACAACAACTTTTTTTATCTCAAATGAATCTCTCAGTAAATGTCAAGTTAAATGTTCCGACCTTAAGGGTATTAATATTAATTAGGGACATTGAGGCTAGGAACGAAGTGTGGAAGGTATTCCAACATAGAATATCACTTATCTTCAATAATTTATTCTTTTAAGCTTATAATATCATCCAGTAATAAACATTATGTCTCAACGTGTATTCAAAAGAATTACTATTTATTATTAAAGAATTCAAACAAAATTGTTTTAACATTCACATCTTAAAGCATGATTTCTAAACACGAATTATCTTGAAAACACTAGGACCAGAAATTTGTATTTAAAGGTTTCTTTCAGAGAATATCCCAGAAATAGAATCTTGAATAATTATCCATTTCAAAAAAGAGGTTTTTAATGATTTGTAAATAGGCCATGACTTATCTGTAACTATGAATATTCTATACTGATGAAGTGATAATCATTATACCTTTTATGTCAAAGTAAGACTATCACAGAACTTTCAATATCATTAATAAAATATTCCTTTTTTTGTATAAAACAGGACTTTTCTTGTGCCTTAGTCGATCAATAAAATTAATTTAGATAATAACCTATACTATTTCTCACTTAATTACGATGTAACTTCAGATGTATAAGTATTCAAGGCAGAACCAAAATATTCTATTGCTTTACCACTAAAGAAAATTACTAAATAAAATCTTTTTAAATCCTGATAATATTCACGTATTTATTCTTACAAGATAATGCTGTCAAGAACTAAGTAAACCAGAAATATTATTTTAAAATTAATTTCTTGTCATACACAAATGCAAATAATGTAATATATATCTATTCACCATTAACGAAACTGCAATATCAACACTAATACTTTCAAGTAAGAATATACTCCCAACAACTGACTAAGTCAATGCAAACCTTCACAACTAAAACAGTACACTCAGTAACAATTCTTGAAATATTGTCCATATACACTTATAAACACAAACTCAGCATGCATTCATTGCATCACAGATGTAACAGAATGAAAATAATCAAAATATTTGACTAAGAATTGTTAATTTCTCATATAAGTAATTCTTTATTTGTCAATTAAAAAAATTTCATTATATTACATACATCGAAGATGTATTTTAACATATTTCTAGTACAATTTTTCATTTTACCTAAGGCATAGATTGCTTTCCAGTTCTATGTGTTCAGACGAAACGTTAGGAAGCAAACAATGGAACTGATTCATTCATGTTTAAAACGATTTTGAACTTTGCGGCAACACATGCGGTACATTCTAACTCGATGGACGAAGTTACACACGGTCTCTTTCGAAATTGACAATGCACAGGCTTCACCCGTTTCACCTGCTCGGTTTCACGGGTTTCACTGGCTGGTTTGCGTCGGTTTGCGTTGCGTTGATGTTATAGATTTGGTGTACGAACGACAGGATACAATGAACTAGTGGGAGATTCGTTCACGAGTAGATTCGTATAATTTCTTATAACGATTTATTCATTTTTAGTACAAGAAAGCAATTTTTTTAAATCCACCACCCGAAAAAATGACAACAGAAGAATATATAGGATGTAAATTAATTACTTGATGTAAGGTCAGAAATGAGACGGTGATGTAGGGACAGGAATTATTGTGGTTTCGAATGAGAGCCAGATCAGAGGTCTCACGACTGTGCTGCCCTCTTCAAAATTTGATTTAACTGAACAAATCTCACCTCTGCAAGCGCGAAACACCAATTAATTAAATTGCTTCCTGAGGTACGGGATGCAGCAGCACAAAATTTGAAGTGATCTACAGACTGCTAATTTATTGTCTTTAGTTAGTTAAGCTAATTAAGCTAAATCCAAAGGCTAAATTTAGAAAAAAATCCTCTAACACGTGGTGTATCCAGAATCCCTGCTTTGAGGCTCCTTGGTACCGAACAATCGATTGACAACAAAACGTTTCTGTCTATCTGTGAACGACGCTAACAGATAAACCGTTCAGCCGATTTCTCCAAATTTAATATTCCCCAATCGATCTGGCTGATGTCTCAGGCCTTTGAATTTTAATTTTGGGGGTACTTTACATGAACCCCTAAGACATTTTCAAAATTTTCAACAAAACAAAAAGGCACCATCGATTTTGATTACATTTTGTGGGATAGTCTGAAGGACGTTTATGAGAATGCGCAGGTCTCATGCTGGTTTTTCGAAAATTGAAAAAATATTTTTTTTTTTCGTCGTCTTCCTAAAACTAAAATATTAAAGATAGAGATTTTTACGGCATGCCGCGGCTCTACTGCCTCAGCGATCACGGCCATTTATCTTATCGGCCTATTATTTATATATTTATTATAGACCGCTGGGTAGTCACGCCAGTTACAGATTATCTAAACTATGGTGCCTTGCTCTGCTAGGCCGCCCCAGGCTGGCAGTTAGCCAGGCTGAAACCGACCGGCCTACCTAGGTATCTTGCAGCTTTGTTGGAGCCGAGGGACCTGAGCGGCTGGCCGTTCGCTGTCACTACCACCACGTGCCGCCTGTTTCTGGTCGCCAGGGTGACGCGCTTGGCGGGCATTAACTTGACATTGGTCCTGGCGAGCGCGCGTTCCGTACCAGAGAGTATATTCCGTACGGTCTAGCGTTGCCTGCAGCTGTTTTGGGGAGTGGGCGAGAAGCGCGAGGTCGTCGACGAATGTAAACACCGGTGAGGGGTCCAACCCCCCCCTCCTGTAATCCGGACGGCGGCATCTATGATTTAATTAGAAAGGTCTCGTTGAAGCCCGTGAGGAGCGGCAAGATAGGAAGTTTATTATTTAAATGTAACTCACAAATTTAAGTCCACGTGAAGTATAGGAGGCAACACGGGAAGGGAAAATTAATTTTTGCTTACGTGAAGAGATCTCAAGAAGAGGCTCACCCTCACCAGAACCGTCAAAGAAGACAGGAACACACATCATACTGAGGATCTGCGTAAATGTAGAATCAGCTATACAAATTATTTTAGTTTTCTTGCAAACAGTAATGAGTAATACCAATTTACCATTGAAGAATTGATAAAAGTGACTGAAGGTGATGGAATGGGACTCGTCTTTACTTAGTAGACACACAAACATCATCACACATCGCGCAAGTGAGAGTATCAGTCGTGCACGTACGTCAATGAGCCAAGAGACAATCTCCCAATATTTTCACAACTTAGAGGAAAGTAGGGGTGAAGCCATGATTCCGTATCTCTAGGGAATTTTTCAAACAACTCTAAATAATGCATCTATTCCCGACGACTGGAAAACCGCAATTGTGGTTCCTATATTTAAAGGAGGAAGTCGCTCAAAAGTAGAAAACTACCGGCCTATTAGCTTAACATCGGTTGTATGCAAACAAATCTGCAATCACATTTCAGAATACTTAAAACGCGAATGGCTCAAGACAGGTTGGCTTTTCGAAGAGCAACATGGGTTTAGAACAGGCTACTCGTGCGAAAGCTAACAGTCTCCGTATGTCAAGATATTGCTGATTCTCTTGATGCCGGTGGGAGAATTGACATAGTCGCCATAGACTTCTCAAAAGCTTTCGATCTTGTTCCGCACGACCGATTAATAGCAACACTCTAGCGCAGGAATCGAAACTAGAGTAGTATCTTGGATCCGAGAAGGGCTCAGTGGGAGAACTCAAAGAGTAAGAGTAGGTGTTAAACTTTCGCAAAGTGTCGATGTTACGTTGGGGGTCCCTCAGGGAAGCGTTCTAGGTCTGTTACTGTTCATTGCTTATGTGAACATCGGTCGCGACATTAAGTCCGAAATTCGACTCTGCAGAGGGTTGTATACTCCTGGTATACTCTACAGAGAAATTAAAGATACCCAGGACATTCAAGTGTTACAAGCAGACTTAAACAAAATAGAAAGCTGGACCACAGAGAATGATATGGAAATTAATACAAATAAAAGCAAAGCTATCTGTTTCTCTAATAAGAAAAAAACAGAAAATATCTCGTATACTCTGAAAGGCGATTCGATACCCAGGGTAAGCAATATTAAATATTTAGGAATTAATATTAACACTTGGGATGGGTCGAGCAAGTGAACTACGTGGCCAGAAATGCATGGAAAGCTCTGTATTTCATGATGAGAATTCTTAGACGAGGTAGTGCTGGATCGCCGAAACTTGCGTCGCTAGTTCAACCTATTCTTGTATACGGTTCAGTTTGTTGGGGTCCTTACCGGGTAGGACAAGTACATGCTTTAAATAAAATTCCATTAGTTGCGGAGAAATGTGTATTGCGAGAAAATAAATGCACATAGTCCCATGTGGAAATTCTTGCAGAAACGTCGGGAAATAGTTAGACTCCGTACTCTCTTCAAAGCTTACAAAGGCGAACCAGCTTCGAAGGATATTCAGAAGCGACTCCTAAAATCATCATACTCTAGTGCAAAATTATGGAGAGAAGGCAAAAAACCGATATCGGAAAGTTTTCTTTCCTTAACCGGACAATAAAAAACTGGAACGAATTACCAGCAGTACTGTTAGAGACTTTACCTCAAAGTGTGGGAAAATTCAAAAATAAATTAAAAATACTAATGATTGTACATATGTTAGACTACAGCATTCAAATTTTGTATTCATTTAGTATTAGTCATAATTTATTTTAAAATGTGTTTTTAATGCACTTTAATGAACAACTTGCATGAAATGTAAATGTATTACTTGATGTACTTATGGAGAGCTGCCACCAGATCTTTCCCAAAAGCAGTAAATATATTATTATTATTATTATTATTATTATTATTATTATTATTATTATTATTATTATTAAAGTGCATTCAGTTTGGTACAAAATTGCTAACAAAGACACGTTACTGGTTTTGGTATGTTCATACCACTTGGATCATGTTTTTAGAACTTCGAGGGCCTTGTAGATCTGCTAGTAGAGGTAACTGCACACTCTACTGTGTCTTTTTTAAGTATATGGTCTTTGCTAGAATTCGACAAGCTGGAATGATATCATTGTTTCTATTCGCTCCAGACAAATTCGGCATTTCTCATCTTGGAAAATTTTAAAAAATTCTTCATCATAATGTTGTGTTCTCAATGCCTGATCGTGAGTAGCTATGACTGATTCAGATTCTAGCTTGGAAGGATAAAATATGGTCCCATATGCACAATTAAATTAAAAAGTTTAAGAGTCATTTTTAAGAAAACGTTTGGGCATTTCTGATATTTTAATCGTATTTTCAAACTACACTTTTGATTTTTCGGATATCTCTATTAAGTTATTTTAAGCAACTATGCTCATAAATGCTAGAACACATTAGAAATGCCTCTAATGAAAATAGTAACACGAGTGATATTCCAAAAAATTATGTGATTTTTGGAGAAAACCACGAAATACCTCAAAGTGGCATTTATGTCATTTATTCTATGCATTTAGCACTATACAATAAATGGAAGTTTTCCAGAAAATAGTATTCGAGTGTTTCTGGAAATGACAATTTAAGAGTTAATTTTAACAGAAAACTTGAGAAACTTCACTAGAATATATCTGAAGTCTTGTACACACAAATGCAATGCAATACAATATCAAAAACACCCGAATTGTTAATTTTTAAAATAACAAATGAATACATCACAATTGCGATTACGTCATATCATTAAATGTATTTAGAACATCCTGAAGAAAAATTAAAAGGAAAAATGTAACCCATATTGACAAAATTTAATTTTAATAACGACCATATTTTACTCAAAATTGCATGAAAACTATTTTCAAAACAATGAACACGATATTATTAAAGAACTAATTGTGAAGAACAGATCTTATTTGAAGAAACAATCACTTTCTTAAATATTAGTTGGAAACGCCATAACAATTCAAACCTTTGTTTTGACCTGCTATTTTTGAGAAAATGTTTAAAAGTTTCAGAAGCTTTGTGTTAAGCAGGCCTTAAATTAAAATAAAATTCTTTTCAAAATCTCCGATTTCGGAAAACATCCTACAAATTGTTTAGGCGCTAGTGTTGTTCATGAACGGATGATCGGACAGGGACACGGGCTGGCAGTCCAGTGACAATTATGGTCACAATGTTATCTTATTAATTCACAATGTAATGTTATCAATATTAACAATTTATATTGCCATTAAATATCAAAATATTTATTTTTAAAAGAATCTATTAGAGATTTTTTATAATCCAGTTCTGCAATAGAAAACAGTTTCTTTCCACATAACTGTTTTTAATAATACTAAAGCACATTTGAATGACAATTTGTTACAAATCCTTTATTCATAAAAATGCTATTATTATTTATATACACACACACATCCATACATACACACACATAAAAATCGACAATTATGCAAATGTCTGGCAGATACAAAAATATCATCTATTATTCACTCCAAGTAAATCCATTGCTTCTTCCGACTGTTTTATCAAAGAGTCACTAGCATATTTATCCAAAAGTTCTTGTTTCTTCCGCCTAAGGAGAGCTTCTTCTACTTCACGTTGAGATGGAACCGGAACATGAGCAATAAATCTTGGTTGTAACGTGTCATCTTTTAATTGTGGTTCATCTTCATCAGACTAAAACAAGATGATTGAGAATTATTATAAATACAGTGTTTTAAACCAACAAAAGACGTTAAATAATAACATGTTGAAAATAACACTGGAAATTTACTCAACGAAATTTGTAACGTCGCAGCAATCTGCAACATTTTGTTCTGACAAATAGTAGTTTGATAAAAAATGTGACATAACAGTCACATTGTATTTTAAATCTGCAAGATTTTAGTATTTTTAAGGATTCTAAATTGAAGTCAGTAAAATCCTTACAGGGGTAATAGAAACAAAGCATTCCTAAAATTTATAAAACCTTCAGTTCAGTTGAACATTCCTAATATATAGCTCGTTTGAAAACCGCGCTCCTAGAGAAAGTGATCTTCTCCATGATCACCGAACTCTGATAAGGGCGTTATCAGCTGGGGCGATCGCGCCCCGGAGGGACGGTAAGACGGGGTAGCGAGAGAGCGCACGGTTGGCTGGGTCAATAAAACAAAAACACGGTGTCAACGGCATAAGCATATTTTCTCTGACTGTTGGAGTGCGGATGAAGGCGAGCGGAACTTGCAAATAATTGGGGGGCGAGCCAAGAGCGGTCGGTGCCGCTAGGCCGAAGGGGCTTATTGTTATTGGGCCAGGAGAGTGTCTGCGTCTTCGCTTGAAAGCAGTTTTCGGGCCTCGGCTAAGGCAGCCCGCCAGAAGGCGGACGCTTTTCTCGGGCACTTTTCGTCGTGAAAGCAGAATTTCCTGACGCCCCATCCAGAATGACGTTACGACAGTTATCACTTCATGCTTACATGTACCCAAAAGATAATTTATTTTGTTATCGGGTTTCATCCAACATTCATAGTGGTGGTAGACTACTTATTAATATTAATTACAAAATACTTTAATAAGTCTAATTATTTTGGAGGCATAGTGTAACAATGTGTTCAATCTCTTAATTTATGTGAAACAGTTAATTTTACGGTTTCAGGTGAAGTTGGTTCCCTGATCATTAAGCATGACTTAGTAATTTTTTACATGTCTTTTTGTTCGGAACGACTTCATGCTAAAGTTATTGGGCTTCACCTACTAATGAATAGGGAAGGATACTACAGGAGATAAATACTTGAATTGCTGTAACATTACCAATGTTGACTGGACATTATGAGTTCGTGTCTTGGGAATGAATTGTAAATTAGATTCTCTGCATAAAATATGCAGTGAAACAAAGACATGAATCTTACCCTCTGACCCTTCTTATCTTACCCACTGACTTCCCATTTCAGAAAATCCACGGAGGCGAATGGTCGCGTCATTATATATATATATATATATA